AAAGAGAGATTTACAAAAATAAAATATAAATGTCTTTCTCAGTATCTTAAACAGAGAGGTTGACACAGTGTCATTATGACATAGCGACTTTTTCTCTTTCAACTCTAACTATAACGCAGTTCACTTGATAAGGACCAAAACCATATGGTCGAAACGTTGTGATCACTATCAAACAATAAATTGCCAGTTGGGTCGGATATATACAAACACTCCTTTAAAATATAAATGGCTACCGTGGCACGATCTTGTTATTTACAAAAATATAAGCAGTTTGTTTTATGGTATCTGCATACGCATTTTCCAACACTAGCATGCTTTTGAAATATCTACTGCGCACATGTTATCACAATATCGCGCACACAATTCAGCATATTTTTTCAAAAATTGAAGATCATTCTATAATACAATATTTAGCAAAAATTATGTATGTATGAATATTTCAGAATTGTTCACATTATAATTAATTAATATCGATATTGATGACTTGTTAACAGGCGCGTAATTTAATCGAATTAAATGCAACATATTTAGTCTAATTTTTGTATATAATTTTTGATACACTGAAATTACACTGCATTAACGTATCTCTTCACTCCGATCTTCAATTACATCATGTATTTTTTAATCTCTTTAAATACAACAACTCCAATCTTCTAATGCGTATCTTCACGCATGTCTTCTAGTCGATATTAGAAGATCGTTACATGAATCAAGGAGCTCATCAATCGTGTCTCACGCCGGCACACGCGATACCCTCGTCGGTCTCTCACAATGCGCTGGTAAATCCTGCAGTTTTACACGAAAAAAAAGAGCGTAATCGACTAATCGTTCACGCTCATGGCGCCTTCCAGATTGCTTGATCTAACTCGTAGAGCAACATTCCACGATCCAGAGCGACCGTGCCCATTCGTAATCGGAGCGAAAGAAAGGGCTCGCGGAGGAAAGGCTCACGCAGAGCTATTTCGTACGCGAGAGAGCTGTAAAGCAACAGCTCTCCTCGTTTCAGCTGTCCGAGACAATGCCGAAAATCGACGTCCGCTCCAAGGCCTTGATGCGACCTTCCCGCCTCGATCTTTCGAGCTGGTCGATCAATCCCGTAGGCCGGCCTGACAGCATTCCTCGGCCCACGCCTCTTTACTCTCCTTCGTCATCTTTATATGATCTCTTTTTCTCTTTCTCTCTCTCTCTCTTTCTATAGCACTCCAATCGTGTAGCTTACACATTATTTGTATGAACTCTACTATATTAATTAATATATGAAAATATCTCAAATTAAAATACATTGCATATATATGTATATAATCTTACTTTATTTAGGATTATTAACATCTGATTTTTGCATAAGAAACATTTGATTTGATATAAATTTAAAAGAACATGTAATTTTTTTGTTTATTCTGGTAATACTTGAAAATACTCATAAAGATTCATAGTATTTAAGATACAATTTGTAGATCTGAGAAACAGAAATGCAAGTCTATGTATGTAATTATGTATATGTATATGTATTCCGGGGCAATTGAAGAATATATTATTCTCACAAGCGTTTGCATTAAAACCTATGCAAATTAGTCCGGACGACCGCTAACACCCTAGTCTATTATTTCTTGTGCAATGCGCATAATTCTCCGTAAATTTCCTTGTATATATTCATTAAATCAAAGCACTCTAGAAAAGGTAATTTCAAGAGAAATGACAATTTATATTATCTAGTCCAGTAAATTAATGTATTTAGCCAAGTAACAAGCAATATTTAATTAACCACAAAAATTAGTTAAACAAATAAATAAACTTGCGATTTCGAATGAAATTAATGGATACAAATTGTATCGAAGTTGATTTCAATATTTGTAACAAACAGGAATTTAATTATTGATTAAAAAATAGCGAGCTTATTCATCGGATTTTGTGGTCCTCTTATGCAATTAACTTTTTTTTTAAGATTAATATTTATTGTACGATCCAATTCGAAATAACAGTTGATTGGTTGATTCTTGATTTATTCAACGATCGATACTCTAGTTTGTTTCTGTATTCTCTCACCAAGTACAACAGGATGAGCTCAAGAACCGAGAAAACACAACGGGTTTTAATCTTTTTTTTTCTTCTCTCTACAAAAACGTATCTCATAATCCACGGAACAACGGATCTTGCGTCCCTAGATATCATTCTCATCGACTTTCACCGAAGACTTTGGGTAGCAAGGACGTTTCTTGATGTACAATCCACGAATACTTCCGTATCCACGAACGACTATTATCTCATTATTAAACGCCGCTATTTGTTTCCTTTTGCATTCATTTACATGTGATCCCATAAGTGATATTGTTCTTGCGTTTTCCAAAGAAGACAGTTTAACACATTTGTGAGTTTTAACTCAAGGAGGTGTTTGAGAATAAGAATCTTGATTGCCATATCTGTTTATTTACAATTAGTAGAGATTTACATTTCTTGTATCCTATATTAACATTATTTTTTGACAGTTCAATGTCTTTTTATAAATTATATAATTCATATAAAAGTTGAGATTTGAAAAACAAAAATATTGTATAAAACTTACAAAGGATGGGAAGTAAATTATAAATTTAATTTACCAAATTAAAAAGTTATATATAAATACATGGAATATAAAGAACTTGCGACAATATATAACACTGATCAGATTTTTATACGTTTTTCCAACCGTTTTTCTGTGAACCGAAACTGTTTTCCTTTGTAATTCATACTGTCAGGATGTAACAAGCGGTGCCAATATTGTTGGCTGTAAAACTCCATCAAGCAATTCCGCAACGGTTGATGACTAGAGTCGGAGAATGCAGATTAGATGCATTGCATTTGCATACGAATGCGTACAGACGCGACTAGTCTTGACGAACTATCGCATCTAATATCTAATTGTTAGTCCGTTTGACCCAATCGAGAATCGCCGCACGCGCAGCATCGCACAGACACGATTTTCATTCTCTCGGCTGTTGCGTGCCATCTTGCAATAAAATCGCGCTTTAAGAGTATTGAGGTATTCGACGAGAGCAATTCTCTCTCGATACGAGTTTTATTCAACGAGACGGTCGTTGTCCGAGAAATGGAAAAATTTGGGACTTATCTTAATCTTTTTTAATATTATATATTATTTTATCTTAAAACTCTATTTTATTATTTTAATTTTATCCCATTTTTAATTGAGAATAAGATACTAAAATAATTAGATACTGTGGAAAATAAATATGTCAATATAATAAACACATATTTTATTGATATAAAAAAATTTATATAGAACCATTCGCCCGCGTGCGAGACCGAAGCGTTCTAAAGTTATTTTTAAGGAAGGAATTCGAAAGTATTATGCATACTCGTATCGCGATGTGTCAGCACATACATGTCTCGCCGCGCAGATTTGTGATGGCTTCGCAAATTGGGCCAATCGATGATCCAAATCGAGACATAATCCAATAACTCTGCCATACCCGCTCTAGCAAATATTCAACATTCCTGCATAGGGACGACTACCATGTCTGTTGCAGCTCGTAAATTCCTTCGTCGAGAAACCGAAGAGTCTGCAATTTCTTAGCATATAAAACAGATTGAGGAAAATAAGTTACTATATGCAACGATACAGAAATATATAACAAGAAATATATAGTGAAGAAATCATGGAGATAAATTAGTTGTCTTAAAATATCTTCGTATATTAATAATGTAATTAATATTATTATCTTAAAAACATTACGATGTCACCTAATTGCTGTATAAAAACTGACATTAAGTGGATTGAAATTTAAATCTATTTAAAGCAGTATACATATATACTCGTATATATTTGTAACGAATTTGTATGTTTCCTTGATTTGAGAGATATTGCTTAAATAAGTAATCAGGCAAGTCACAAATGCTCAAATACTATATGCTGAATTTTTTAAAGAGTTTGTTTTTTATTTATCAAATAAGCCCTACAGAATAGATTTGTCGGTTTAACGCTTGTACACAGAAGAGTAATGACCATAATTTACCGAAAAGAACATTTATTTCTACGAATTTGAAAACTATTAGTATAAAAGAGAGAGGAGAGAGTCTAAAAATCTCAATACGGATATAAAATTCTGTGCTATACGAAGAGCAATAAAATTTCTTTTTTTTTATTGCTGTCTCTCTGACCGTTTATTCTCCTTTCATTTTCAGGTGAAAAGAATTTCTCGACTTAGGCTAAGATGTCACATCACAGCGACGACAACATGCTGATAGCAACGTCAGACTCCTTCTGGGAGCCGGGCAACTACAAGCGAACGACGAGAAGGATCGAGGACGGTCATAAGCTCTGCGACAGTTTGATAGCGTTGGTCCAGGAAAGGGCGGAGATTGAAAAGAGCTACGCCAAGGCACTCAAGAATTGGTCCAAGAATTGGAACGACAAGATCGAAAAAGGACCCGAATATGGTACGACCGAGGCGGCATGGAAGGGTGTCCTGGTAGAATCCGACAGACTTTGCGATCTTCATCTCAGGGTGAAAGAGAACCTCTGCAATGACATCGTCCAGCAAGTCAAAACGTGGCAGAAAGACACGTACCACAAGGTACGAACAATTACATCAATTACATCTACTATTCCCTTCAGATATAAAAATTTGAAGTCGTGTACAAGATTTCTATCTCTCTCCTAAAAATTTTTTCGAACGGTGACATTTATTTAAATGATAAAATAGTAATTGATGCAACAAATAATATCAACTCCAACTCTCAAAATATTTGACATTTTTGCATTTTACATTCATGCATTTTTTGACGTATATAATTAAAATTTATTTTTAGATTATATTACAAAAATTTACTTTTGTTACATTCTTTTTGTCCAATATAATCACTTTTATGGATGGAAAATTTGATGTCTACTATTCTCAGTGATTCCTCTTATACCAATTTTCATAATAGTACTTGCACGCAATAGTAATATTAACTGATGTTGCACGGGCTTGGTTCTATGATTGCAGTCGATGATGACCCTGAAGGAGCGCAAGGAAATGGAAGATGCGTTCAAGAAGGCGCAAAAGCCATGGGCGAAACTCCTACAGAAGGTCGAGAAGGCAAAGTCGGAGTATCACAACAGCTGCAAGACCGAGCGTACCGCGGCGAACATGGAGAGGAACGCCTCGGCGGACAGTTCTCTCTCGCCGGATCAGGTGAGCATGTCACAATCCATTGTATATCCCGCATATCTCGCGCACACATATTACATCACTTGTCACTCGTAACGTTTTATTAACGATCGCGGCGCAACCAGTAGTACCATGTACTACTATAATAGAAGTCGCTCCGTCATCACGTTCGCTTTTAAAAGACCGACGAATTAAAATTAATTCACGTTACAAATATGATACGGCAAGATTGCGCGAATTTGCTTTTAATAAAATAATTACTTACAACTCCTAAAATTCTGGTGGAAACCGTAAAATTTCTCGATATTTTATTAAATATGTTATTTAAATATATTGTTTAATTAGATAAGAGTTCTCGAAGGGATATAAATAAAAATGTGATAATATTTAAAACGGTAATTATAATGGTGACAAGTTAAACGTTGTTATACGAATATTCCAATTCGTGAGCGCAAACATATACATACATACTGCGTATATTTATTATTCAATCAACAGCAATGCGTATTTTACATTGTTTAACATCCACGAATTAAGATAATCTCACGGCAATACACTTTTTCGCATTCTTAACAGTATCCTTTTCAAAACAATGAGACAATCGAATTATATAGATGTGCACAATGTATACTTTTAACATCATATGTTCACGTTAGTCTCTTGGCATCTCGATCACGCGTATTACACGCGGTTCTACGTACGGTAGATACAGTTGTTCTTTAGCGAGTATTATTTACAGATGGCCCGAGGCTCTGAAAACGTACGTTTTACACCTTGTATGTTTCTAAGAATTCTTGCATGCGCTATTCTCTCTTTCTCTTCTTCCATTCTTGCTTCTCTCGAACGTTTCGCAGTGAGCTAACGATATCCGATTCGTTCGCTTCTGCGCGCAGAGTTCTCAGTTTGTGTTTCTTGCCCAACATCTCTCATTCGGTACGGAAAGGATACTTTGTAATAGTCACTGTACGAACCAATATAGACGTTTTATTTCATTTCTTGCACGGTAGTAATTATAGGAACCAAACCTAAATAACGAAACAAACTTGCAACGCAAAAGAAAGATTACATTGCAGCTTTTTGTATTTCTCAGTTTTATTATTTTTTAATTGTTTAAAATATTATTAGGGAGCAAGGATTGATGTAAGTTTAGAAAAAGAAGAAACAATTTCTATAAAATTTCGCGTTTTCATAAATTTCTATTTAATTCTAAAAAGCATATAAAATATAAAAAAAAAACCCGCCAAACTCACGCGCACGCATAGTCGGCAATAATGATCTCGATATCGGAGATAGACATCTCTGAAAGACGGCTAACGACGTTTTTAGATGACAGATTGTGGATGTGATGCATGGAGGCTCAGAGTACCAAAAATCCTTAGGAATAATAAAATAGGCGACGTTCAGTTTGTATGTATATGATGTTGCATGTAGCATGTTACTTGACTTATGTGTCTTTCCCCTCTTTCTCTTATTACAGAAGGCTCTGCTGGTAAGCAAACCTCTGATTTAAGCCTTTTCGATTAACGCACGAGAAGTATCTGCTCGAATTGATCAGTCGAATGAATCGAAATTAGAATGCAATCAACATATATCCTTTTATGTCACCTTTACATGCTTTCTTTTTTTTTTTTCATTTTTTACATCTCTTATCTCAATTTTTATAATGTTGATCTATCTCTTAAATTTAAATGTAGCATGCTTTGCTCGCTCACGTTAGATATACTATTATTGCTTAAAATAATTATTCAGCGTATATATTTAGAGGACTGCTACGTATATAGAGGAATATGACTGATATAATTTGCACCGCCGATTGATTAAGCGTTACTCGTAATTACAAGAGTACACACTTCAACGTGTATTACCGTAATTTGGTTAACTCAAAACTGGTATAAACATGAGAAACACCGTGCACGTGCATGAAATATGGATAATTCATGAGTCGGTATACATAAAATCTCTATGCACTAAATTCTTAGAGCGCTCGCGGCACATATAATGATCGTGCGCGTACGATGTTTTTTTTTGTAAAATCGAATAACGACGTAAATTTTATCCAAGACAACTCTCGATCTTGTGTCTTCACTGTACAGCGACTTCACGTGGTCGGAAAGTAATTATTAAGTGCTGTAATTATCTAATTATGTAAAATTACTGTGATGTAAAAATATTTTAAAATCCATAAAATTTATATAAATTTTGCTATTATTTCCTAGTCTTAATAAAAATCCGAAACTTTAAAAAAAGAAAACTCTTTTTATGTCAAAAGTTTGTACGTAAAATATTCAATTTTTATATTGTATTTTGACAAGAAATAAACATTTTTAAATTGTCTGAGAAATGTAACGATGCATTTCAGTATTAATATGAAAATTTCTTTAGAATACATATATATTAGATAATTATTGTGATTGAGAACGGCTATTAGTTTATACATTATTTATATGTAGTTGCATGACGAGGCAAACACTTATAAATAGATTAAAAAATACGTAGTTTAATGTAGTAAATAGACAGAATATACATATATATATATTTGCACATTTTTTAAAAAATCGTTATATATACATATATATCTCTTGTCTCCTTCCTTAATGTGGCATTCATGCTTAATATCGCAAAAAAAGTACCTTTCGTAGCTTTTTGGCGATGGGCTAGATAAATTTGAAGGTAAAGAATTGGGATTATTTATTAAAAATTATCTTTTTAATTAACATTTGTAAATTTTGAACTTTGTAAACTAACAAAATAATCAGTTTAAAATGTCGCGTGATAATCATTATATTGGAGATTAAATGCAAATTGCGTGAAAAATGAAAAAGGTTTAGTTTTAATATATATACGGAGCGTACTTTTATAAACTTTTACCATCATAAAGTTTAAAGCTGCTTTAAAAGCTTCAAACTATCAGACTATATCTCGTGATGCCAACCAAAGTCTTTACCTTTAAGCCAACATTAAAGAAGAATGCTTTCTGTAAGATTTCTAAATATTTTCCTCGTCTCTTTTGACAGGTAAAGAAAATGCAGGACAGAGTGCAAAAAACGAAAGAGGAAGTGCAGAAGGCGAAGGAGAAATACGAGGCGGCGCTTCAAGAAATCAATCAATACAATCCAAAGTACATGGAAGACATGACGCAAGTGTTTGAGAAATGCCAGGAAATGGAGGCGCAGCGACTACAATTTTTCAAAGACGTCCTCTTCGGCATTCACAAATGTCTGAACATATCGCAGGATCCAGTGTAAGACTTTTTCTATTATTGCACAATTATACGGCATGATAAACGCGTAAATTAAAAAAAAAATCAAGAATATATTTTTTCTATTAAATCAATTATATGTTATAAATGTGATACGATCGTCTATCATAATCAATATTGATTACTGGCTCTCAGTGTCATTATTTAATCAATTCAGTTTACAATAATTTAAATTAAATAATAAAACTGGCAAAATTGAAATCGCTATCTTTCAGTTTCTGCCACATTTAATGAATATGAGAAACCTTCGCGTATCACATTATCGTTATTATTTTATGGGTTGTATATTATGATTTTCAGGCTTCCACAGATATACGAGGAATTTTATCATACGATAAATAACGCCGACCACGAGAAAGATCTCAAATGGTGGTCTAATAATCATGGTGTAAATATGGCTATGAATTGGCCGCAGTTCGAGGTAAGTTCGCTTATGCTTGTCTCTCTATGCACTACAAAAACTCTATACTGTCGCATGAAAAAGCCCTGCTCGTGGTTGAAGATCTATTGTTAGACAACATATAGCTGTAGCGTGGATTGAATATTACTCTATAGCTCTTCCCTTTATTTTACAATAATTTTACCGTTACTCTTTGATCGTTATGTGCGCCTTGCCGTATATTCTTTTATTTCTGGCACACTTGGTCCAACAAAGAATACAATAATAATAATGTTTGCCGTTAAATGTTTGAAATATTTAATATGGAATATAAATATATCGGTATTTTTAGAGGAAATAAAGTTTTATTAAGAGAGAAATAAATTTTCCACTTTAAAATAATAATAAGTAAAATACTGATTTTTTTATAATGTATAATATATATAGTGAGAATGATATCCTATTTGCGCTAAAATAACGAATAAGATCTTACGCACTTGAAGGGAGACGAACGAACATACTCTTAATCAGTGTTTTTAACTCCCTCATAACTTGTTGTGTCGTCAAATTGTATCGTATAACATTAAATAAAGATTACGCTTTTGTACAATCGCGCTTCCGAGAAGATACTCCGCTTACGATAATATTTTGTCTTCTTGAATTTTCAAGCTTCTACTCATAATCTTATATTTATCTTACTATATCATTTGGGAGCGCAACATTCTCTTAAGAAAGATTAATAGCTTATCAATTTATAGAAAATTTGTACAATCGTTGTAGATAACGCGAGCTCATCAATCGTCATTTTATACTGATCACGGATTATAAGTATTGCCGATCTTTCTTATCAACATTTTTCAGTTTAATTAACTTATATAAAAAAACCTTATGCCCTCCAAAAAGATGTGTTTTGTTATTGTAATCAATTACATCTTTTGTTTAAATGATGTTATATGTGCCTTTGTCTCCCGTCAGCGCGCACTGTGTCAATGGTTAAACTCGTTGCCAGAATAACGCCCAACCCCACATTGTCACCTCTCTCGCCTCGACTTTTTTTTAATCCGAAAATACTTTAAACTAAGTAATATCGAGAATTCCCATACAATGATATAAAATATCATACAATATATTTTTAATATTTAAAAAAGGGGAAAAAAAGAGGTAGAGAGAGAGAGAGAGGAGAAACCCACGACAATTTTCCGGAATGCATGCATGTGATTGTTTTGGGACATTGCTATTATGCAGGACTACACAGAGGAGTTCCGCGAGATCACGAAGGGCTCGAAGTCGAAGGAGGCGCTCCCGGCAGGCTCCATCACACTCATCAATCAACGCCCGGTCGGCGAGGATCTGCATGTAAAGTTTTGTTTATACGTTACACACATGGCACGCGCCGCCTGCAATCTCATTTTATAATTGTTGAATACATCCAAAACCCGGTCCAGCCTACCCCGACTATGATTCGTCTCGATCGGCCATGTTGGGACGATCGAGAGGTCATCACCGGTTAGGCAAGCACGCGATAGCTTTTAATGCGGATGTCGCAGCTGGTCGCGAGGTCATCCAAGATGGGTTTCCTTTCTCAGCTTCTAGCTCTTAGCCGGCTTAACCGAATTAACCGTAAATCCGCTCCGCGCTTGCGCTCGCACGTAATCGCACGGATCTCTGCCTAAAGGTGAACATGGACAGCCTCCTCCCCTGGGTGGCAGATATAAGAGGAACGAATTTACAAACTATTGAGGCAATATACAATGCGACAAAGGCAGGAAATATAAGTCATAAAATATTGCAAAATTACACATCGTTCAAGAGGAGATTATGTTTTTAAATTATTTTCTGAACATACATATCTTTTTGCAATACAAATTAATGATATTTGTACCGTATTATTAGACGAGAAGAAAGATTATACAGATAAATCTGCTCCTGTATAAAGTAGCCGAATCTAAGCAAACAATTCTTTTCTTTTGAATGATATATTTTATAAGATATGATAAGAGAATTGTGTCATCATTATAACAAAAGTAGATGAAAACATTATACTTTAGTAATCGTTCTCTTGACTAGATTTATTTCGATAAAAAAATTTTGCAATCCTCGAAAGTTTGTGAATTGACTCGTTTCAAGATGCTTATTATCCTGTTCATGGTATACGGTATGGATAATTATATTATTACAATAAATATAAATCACATCGAGCTTAACAATAAGTCATATGCCTGCAACCGATTGTTAAAAATCACGTGCGACACATCTGCATGTTCCACATGCTTAAAAATATTATATTACTATGAAAGTGTCGTATTATATATGGATTAAACAACGGAAATATAATATGGAATTAAGTTCATGAATAGAAGAATTATAAATCAGATTGTACCAAGATTGTCGTATTTTCTTTCAGCCACAAATTTCTCAAATATGCGTAAATTATACTCTAATAGTATTTTAATTTAACATATAATGATCGAAATGGGTGTTTAATGGAGATTACAAACTTATATAGATATTTAATAAAATATTTACCAAAGAAAGAAGAAAGTTCCAAAGAAAATGCGATGGTTATAGGTCATTCTATGTTAATTTCTCTTGCATGATACAATATAAAATTTTGTATATAGTCATCAGAGCTGAATTATATTGTTTAATGATATCTCATTTAAAATGTTTCTTTCTTCGATAATGATATATCTGTGACTAAGAATCAAAATAACATTACTTCAACTACTCATAATTCATATAATCTGTCTATAGAGTTTTTGTCATGTTAATTGTTAGAATTCATCTAAAAAAAAAAAAACACACACAATCTCAAACCTTATCGTGCTTTGTAAATATGCACTTTTTAAACTTATAAATTGTAATGAAAATACAGATGTACGATGATAGTCTATCTTCTCTATAAAAATATCTAAATTTCTTACATCGTCAAGTGAACAGTGCTTACTACGAGAGAACATAGGATATTGAATCAGTCAATTTTTCTTTGATATATGCAAGATTATTGAGAAGATAGACATAGTGAAATAACGAGGGCTTTAACAAAATCGCACATGCATCGTTGGCATGCTGATTAAATATTCGCAGCGAACGGCTCTCAAATCATATGAAACATTTGGTTGCACGCATAGCATTTTTGTCGAGAGAAATTCATGCATCTATATCGCGGTTACGCACTATGCGGATTTTGTCGAGACGTATCTAATATATTTCCACACATTTCAAACAGGAATTTCCACCGGTCAACAACAAATCAAAATCGAAGTCCACCGGCCGTGTAATATCAGCGGACAACAATCACGGAGATAGCAAAACCGACACAATAAGTTCGAGCAAACAGCCTTCAGAGAAGAACAACGAGAGCGATAATGTCAATAGGACTGCGACTATTACGTAAGTTTGTTGAAAATGGCTCGTACAGAGCTCTTTATCTAGTAACCAGTAAGAACCGCGTGTGAAATGTACGATGATTGCAGTAACGGTACTAACGCCAAGCAAGAGTCAAATCCATTCGAAGAGGAGGAATGGGACGAGGACGGTGGTGAACCACTGGTCGACAATGGGGAACCAGGGGTTCCCGTGCGAGCACTATACGACTACGAAGGAGCCGAGGCGGACGAACTTAGTTTTAAGCAAGGTACCTACATAAATCGTGTCTTTCGCAAAATTTCGGAGTCATTCGATTTAACTTTATTTATATACATAATCAACTGATATGACATCATTTTCTATATCTAGAGCGAAAAACAGAGATACGATTGTCTCGTTATTTCTCGCGGTTAATATAGTTTAAAAAGCAACCGATAATTATATATATAATATTATATTATGTTATATTATATATAAATCGAATTTTCACAATCTTTCTCAGGAGATGTATTCGAAAAGCTAGAAGACGAAGATGAACAAGGATGGTGTAAAGGAAGAAAGGACGGTAAAGTGGGTCTTTATCCGGCGAACTATGTAGACTTGGTGTCGCAATAGATTAACTAATATAAAGCCAAATCCACAAGTTCGTTAGTTACTTAAATATGTAACCTTTGCGCGAAGAACAAAAATTGCGTTTCGTTTCTCTCCGCTGTTGTCTGCGCGAATTGTAATTTGTGGAACGACAATTTCGCGGCGCGTTAGAAGAGAGACGAATGATGAATGAATATAGAATGAAAAAAACGAGTTACAACATTTTAAAGTCCAAAACTTGAACCTAAATTGTCTGCATTTACGAATTGTATAGTGAGAAGTGATTCTGTTTCGAGATCTATCCTCCGCAACAGAGGCAATTATAGCGAAATTAATTTAAATGAATAGCTTCTTATGCAAAAAGATAGCTCCTCACTCTTTAAATTTGTTTTTAGATAGCTAAGTTAGAATCAAAATCCTTTATTAGTTAATTTCAATGGATAAACATGGATTACACGCGTACGGCGCGTATAGCAAGTTTAGATATTGGAATATTGTACAATCATTTTACGGCTCGTTGCTACTCATAATTTTTTGGCTGATGCGACAAGAGTTCTATTTAATTTATTGTTATTAAAAAAATATTATTAAAATCTAATGTCTATCTAAATGGTGTCATTGTACATAATAGACATAAGAGTATAGCAATACGTGAAGTTATTATTACCATTTAACGAATTTAAAGCGTTGCGATATTTATGTGAACACATAAAATATACAGGACATTACTTTAAATAAATATTAATATACAGTATGTAAAAAAAAAAAGAGTATTCGCGGGACCCAGAAAACTATAATTGTTCTCTTTATTAATTATATTTTATAATTAAGATATAATAATTTGGCAAAACAAATATATGAATAAATTATCAATGTTACGTTGAATCCAGAAAAATATTTTCGTCTAAAGTATGTTGTGTGTACATAACTTGTTTCTATATAAATCCGATAATATTAGAAAAGTTTACATGAGAAAAACTTAGGTATTTTATTATTATTTAAAAAAATATGATTCACTCTTGTATATTTCGCACAGAGAATTAACTGTAACACATCGTATACTAAAAAGTATATAGAAATGTCTCATATTAACCATTATTGATTTAATAAATGTAATAATATCTATCAAATACCCCATACATGTATCAAAAAAATATCAAATTAATTTTTCTGAAACTAAATGCATAAAATTCCAGAAAGTTACTCTACATAAATCATATAAAACCAATATGTAGCTAACACTTTATTTACTTCCAAAAATCACAATTTTTTTCGTAAAACGTTTCTCTAACAATGAGTTATTTAATGTGTTAGCTGCAGAGTCAGAGGGATATTTGATTTATGATTATTATAATAGACATTGAAGAAACTAAATATTCATTGTGAATACATTGTGTCTATGTACACAATATTTATGTAAATATCGTAGAATATAGTGAAATCTTTTCTTTTTCAATTCAGTCTGATTTTTTTATAATCATTCATTTATTACCCCTCTAAATTACTTTGTGAAGGGTTCGCAACTTTATACAGTTGTTAAGTAGACCCTGTCTTGTGTATAAAATTTATGTATATTTAATAAATGACTTATACAAAATATTCTGTCCATTTATCACATTATATTTATCATAGAAATAATATATTATTATACATACAGATGAAATTTATATATATATATATATATATGACAAAAATTTATTTTATTATAATCATATACATATTCTCTCTCTCTTTCTTTCAATCTTTCTCATACCCTCTCTTCCCATCCGTCTCTCTCTTACTCTCACATCCTGTTATTACAAATAAAAATGTAATTATTTATAACTAAATTCACAATAGCATTTAAGTTCTATTGCGCTGACATAAATCGTTAAAATCAAATTATTATATAAATAAAAGCTGCTTTTATATCAAATTATAGATTAAACTTGAAAATCCTTAGAATGTCTTAATGTAAATTACTTATATTTTATAGGAAACATTATCTTTTTCCGATTTATACATGTTTATCATTAATAACTATAATGGTATTAATTTTATTATTTTCTTATTAGCTTCTACAGGATAAATTATTTTTAAAACACAGGCATATTCACATATGTAAGCGAATTATGTGACTTGAATAGTACAAAAGAGAATATAAGAAAAAATGTAGTCGGAGCAAGCAGTTCGGTCGGTGACTTTATGTGCATAAATTGTGTTAATGATAATACAATTTGGATTATAGATAAGTATGGATGTACAATGCCTACCAAAAATCCGAAGTGTGCAAAAAGAGGAAAAGGATGAGAAATCAAAAAATAAATGTTATTCAGACAGAATCAAATGTCAGTTAATCCTCACATGAAACAGCAAGTTTATTAATTCAAGAAGCACAATATTCCACAAACAAATTATATTGCAACATATTTATTTATATCCATTTAAAATCATATATTTGATACTATTGTATTTAATAAAATTTTAATATGATATCAAGTATACACAGTATATTTAATTCATATACAATATATTATTATTTTGGAACTACACTCTTTAAGTGATCTATTTTAAAAAATTAGATACAACGCTTTTTTCATTATCAGTATGAATATTATATATATTAAATGTTTTACAGAATTATCTTTTTAAAGAAATAATTATTTCTCCAATTGATTATAAACAGAAGCACTCACAAAAGTAAAATAAATGTTATTAATCTTTTAATAAAAAAACTTATAATTCTCTATTTTCTATTGACTGTGCATAATTCGAAATAATAGTTATCCAATTTATTATTTAAAGATATTGGTCTCGCAGTTCCAAATAAATCTTCATAATTTTTTGAAAAAGTTTTGAAAAAGAAGATCTTATAGAATTATAGAATTAAAATGTATTGATATTTATGATAGACAGAAATATACGATAAAATTAATTTTTCATAAAATATAACTTAGACAACTATATGACATATTTACTATCCACATGCATTAGTCATAAAAACAGTTTTATAAGAGAATAATGATATGTAATACAAATATTTATCTTAACAATAATTTCTTTTTGTGTTTTTCTTCTCTCTATTAATTTATATATACTGCAAAATACATATTTCAGAATATATATTGGAAATATGTAATATTTATTTTTGATAAAATATAAATTTTTTAACTAATATAAATATTCCATAAAAGGGAGAGGAAGAAAGAAAGAAAAAGAATGTGTTATTAGCATAAGTTTTAGAAACTTTATGTTCAAAATATATATAGTGTGTGTTTTATATTAAAGCAAGATAAAAAAAAAGAGAGAAAATGTAAAATTCCCGATGTATATTCTAAAATATTTTCTAGTATATATGAATTAACAGAAAAAAAGAAAAACAAGAACAAAAACAAAAAAAATATAAAGGAAATACCTTTTATGTAAGATAAATATGTACATTACTTTATTGATTATATGAGCATAGAATTATTCTTATAAAATATTCTTATGACTAATGATGCTTATTGATGTAAATATATCATATAGAATGTAAATTATTTAAGTTATCATATTTTATAGAAAATTATATTTTTATCCTACATCTCTCTATGATAAATTTCAATAAATTTTAATTACATATACATTAGAGATTTTAATTATATACATTATTCTTATAAGATTGTGTTTTATGACTAATATATATTATATAGAAACTATGTTCTCTCTCTCTCTCTCTTTTTTTTTTAGAATAGAATATAATTTTTCCAAAATTTATAATAATATATACACTCTTCTTTTCCTCTCTCTTTTTCTAAAATATGAATTTTCTATTCTAAAGCTTATGTCCTATAATAGTACTTTTATTTAAAATAATATGTTTTAATAAGATATTTTGAAATAATAAAATAAATGTAATTATTTCTTATCTTATTTGAATCATAACAATCTAATCGAATTTATCTTTTACAAAAAAAAATGATATAATAAAATTGATATTACATGTACAAACTCCATGTAACTTATAAATTATTTAATGTTCTTAGATATCATTATGTAAATAATGACAAATTAAAATTGCCAAACTTTTTGATTAAATATACGGCTGCACTTTTGCAAAAAACACAATTTACATGTACATTATTGGCAGATCTTATAACAATTATGTAAATTGTATAAATGTTTTAACTATAATTACATATACAATTGCAATTTTAGCAGCTGTGATTTTTATCGTCCAAAAAATATTTTAGAATACCCTCACTAGAGTTTTTTCTCTTTAGAGTATCCTATTGTATACATGGGACAAAATTTATAGAACTATACATCAATGGGTTGCGACGTGTTCTTGCAAGTCCTCCAACGTGCGAAACGGCTTGTCACATAACTGACATACATGAGAATTTCCGTTGTGTATGTCCAAATGTTCCGCCAGATCTTCTTCTGTATCAAACAGTTCGTCACAAAGCATACACTGATACTGATTGATGACTCTCATTCCTTGCTTCTCCCATTCCGCTATCGCAACTTCTTCTTCGTGCTCCTGCATATGCATTTCCAACGACATCTCCGAATCGAATGATTCTGAGCATTGACCGCAATAATAGATTTCCATTTCTTTTGTTTCATTATTGCTCTTATTATCCTGATTTATGCTAATCAAATTGGGATTGTCGTCTTCGTCATCAAACAAGTGTTTACCGACGTGCTCTTCTAATGCTTGATCTGATTCCAGAGTATCGCCGCAGATAGCACATTGATATTGTTCTTTGCTGTTGCTCTGTTCTCCTTCGCTCAGATCATCGCAATGTTTCTGCAAATGATCCTTCAACACTTCTTCGTCCGTGAATATTTTATCGCATACGAAACAGGTATATGTTTCCTTAGATCTTTCTCCGATATTTTCCCCGCTATCGAGTTTTACGCCTGTACTAGTTATCTTGTCGGACTGGATATCAGATTGATCGTTCTTCTCGGTTAACACATTTTGCACTTTTGTCGCGGTCTCAGTTCTCTGATCCTCTTGCAGCGTTGTGGATTGCGTTTTCTGTGGCACGTCGATAGTGCTGGATTTCTTGTTCCCGATCGCGTTTACTATGTTGAATTCCGACTGATCGTGACTTTCCAAATGCCGCACGAGAAGCTTCTCCGTCCGGAACATGGAATTGCAAACATAACACTTGTGAATCTCTGTAGCTGTTTTACAGACATGCGACTTCACGAAACGGGCTTCGACTATCTCATGACACCTCTTGCAACGCATCATTTTCTGCTTATTTTGTCGCGGTGGTGTCGCTGCTGCATTCTCGTTTTGTAACGTTGTGACGTGTGTGACACTAGCGCTTGGCATCGTTTTGTGAGTACGAACATGCGCCTCTACGTCCTTTCGACTGCTAAATGTGAGTGCGCATACCCCGCATATATGATTTTCGGTTATGGCACCCTCTATCCTGATTGTGTCTTCGTAATCAGCCTTCTGTTCGTTCGTTAAATTTTGCTCGACGAAGAGAGGCGCCCATTTAGCGCCATTATCCAAAACTTTGACCATCGAACTATTTTCCATACGTTTGACAGAAGTAACGATCTGCTTGTTCGTTCCCAGTGATTTTTTCGTCGCTGAACTGCCATGTATTATTGCGTGCTCAGTCGAAGTTTTGGATGCTTCTTTGGGAGAGATCACGTCGTCCGATTTGTCGGAATCAGAATCCAACGCAGAGGTGTTGTAGTCGTTATACTTTATCGGCGGTACAATTCGACGTTTACGAGAAGTTAAGCTGATGGATCCGCCATGACTGCTCCCTCTTGGCGCGGCCTGTTTCAAAACGTGAAGGTTATTGATGTTATAGAGCTTACTCTCTTTTGATATATCTAAACGTTTAAGTACGACCTTCGGTTGATATTCGGGTAAACTCATAGCCGCCTTCGCAATCGCCGGCGAGACCCTCGCGAATCCGCATGTATCATCTGCATGTTTAATGATTGAGGACTCGATATTCTTCTTTATAGCTCTCTCTATTATACCTTTCAACTTCTCATCAAGTTTTTTACGAGAAATCGCACTGACATCGTCCAATTTCTCGGGAAATAATGTTTTCGCAACGCTATCGTTTGTGCCGAATATTCTGTGCCTCATTTCCTTTTGGACAAAATCTGCCAATTCAACTTGTACACGTTTCAAAACCGACAATTCATTACCCTCTACCTCGATATTTAAACACCTTTCGACAGATTTGGTGTTAACTGGCTTGCTATTTGCATCAGACGTCACGGGATTATTTATTCTACGTAACTGAACCGCGTCGATAATATCAGTATTTTTTTCCCGACTGCTTTCGTCAATGTTAGAATCCTTTGTTAAATTATTCGAATTCTCTGTATCCGCAAGAATCAACGTTGATGTTACGGCATATGTAACGTCACCGATCACAAGCTCGGATTTCAACGTGTACGGTGTAAACGTTTCATCGTCAACTTGTGATTCGGGTTTTTTTACGCTAACGTCTGCCGTAACATTATTTTCAGCTAACGAAACTGAAGAATTCTCTCGTTCCATTGAACTCTCTAAAGAGGATATATTTTTCTCGGCACTGTTTTTCTCATCAATTGTGCTCAATAATGAATTTTTCTTATTTGGCTGCAAAGTACTCGAATGCAAATTACTCAATCTCGTTCTGCGCGTGTCAGAGTCTGTGTCTTTGTCAGGAATCACAGTATATTTTTCTGTGAGATTCATTTCTAAATTTTTTAACACTTTTGCAATCCTCTTTTGCCTTTCCGCTTCCTTATCCGCGTTATTTTTCGCTCGTGCCTTTTGCACAGGCGATAATTGCGCGTCATCGGAAACTATGGAATCTGTATCAGACACATTCTCTCCTGTCGCGGCCACGAGCGCCTTTTTCCTCTCTATATAACGCTTTGTAGATGCCTTCCTTCGTTCGATATTTCTGCCGCGTCTCGCAGGTAACCATTTAGTTCTCATTGGTCCTGAAGTTGTTTTACTTTCTATATGTTCTCCGCTGCCATTTTCTGCAGCCTTCTTACTATTATCAGGATCATCGAGCACTTTGCAAGAGGAATCCTTGGACAAAGTTGGTCCATTATCCTCATTATCTGATATGTTTATTACATCCAATATAATCTGGCCAGTGTCACGATCAATATTTGTGAGCTCTGATGAAGATGCATCTGCTTTGGATTTTTTCTGAAATAAAAAAACAGTCAGGTTGTGCTTGGCAAAATAACTCTTAGATATATTAGTTTAATAATTCTGTCAAGCATTCAACTAAATATTATATAATAGCTTATTATTGAGTAATATAAAAATAACATTATTATGAAACACAATTAAGTAATTGTGCAAATTTTAGGTAAAAACACCTTATCATTATCAGAAATGCTATCTTCATTTCTATTCAAACGTTTCCTTTTCATATTTTCCGTCACACATCTTTCGTCCTTATGAGAATCCTTAACCTAGGATAAAAACGAAAAATGAATAATAATTATATTAAACTAATGAAATGTAGCATAAAAAAAAGATATAAAAATTTACATACAGGATTAGAAATATCAGATGTTTCCGATATTTCCAACTGTTCCAAAAGAATCTTATTGGACTGTATAAATTGTTCCTTAAACTCGCTCCACATATCCAGCTTATACAAGCATACATGGCATATGACACTGGGTAAATTTTCTTCATGCTTGACCTGCATTAAAGAAAGACGGAATAAGTATTCGGGTGAAATATCGAAGTAAATATCTACGTCAAAAAACCTACATCAATACAGGTGCATTTGGCTAGATCCTTAAGCTTGGATTCCACATTCTCCTCGTTAATATCGGTCATGCAGCCGTGATCAACCAGGCAGATGCGACAGCGCTCGGCCATGTTCGGATTTCTCGACATCGTATCGCGAGAAAAGGTCAAAATAATCCGGGATGTTCAGAGGAATCTTAACGGCGGTCCAAAGTACGTGGCGAACTAAATCGCGACGAGTTCCTGCACATCGCTATCAGTAACCTTAAGAACCCACGTGATTTTGACACGAGCCGAGCCGATGCAACGGCGAGGCTGAAATCGACGCGACGGTACAATCTTCCGAATGACGATCGCGTTGTCCCACGCAGTATGCCGTATCGTTCAAACTCACTTTCCACTTCTCTCACGATCAGATTCACTCGCGACGGCGGGATGCATCCGCCATTACAATGCCAGGCAAAGCACAAAGCGCCACAGAGCGCGCAAAGGAATCAAAATATGGCGCACCCGATACGTGTTGCGTGAATTCGTTGGCGCTAAATTCTAACTCTATCCTGCTCTATCTTAATACTGCATTGGTGTACGTATGTACATACATATGCACATCGATACCGCACGCACAGAGTGGTCGTCCTATTGGCTAAGCTCCGTCGAATGGGTTCTCACCTTCTCACTCGATCGTCAAAGACGCCGCAATCGAAAATAAAAGTTTTTGTCGGTTATGCGGAGCCGGAATCTACCGACATTACTGGTCGTTGGTATCTGCCAATATTAGGGAATGATGATGATGAGATACCAAATATCTCGAATGTGACACATCGGTTGTCGGTATCCGCGAAAACGAATTTTCTAGCAAATTCCTTGAAATCGATTTGTGCTTTGAAGCACGATTACACAAAACTAGAACGAGTCTCGAATCCATCGGCACGCGTGCAAGCAATCGCGTTTTGGGCAGAATAACATATAAGTACTCGAACGTGTTTCTCATTTCCTAAAACGTACGTATTTTTGTTGATGCATTTTACATATTTACATACATAATTTCTTTGCGTAATTTCCTCTTTTTCTGCGGAATCATTTCCTGCCTGCATTCGCGCGCTTTACGCATCGAGAAAGTTCTGTGATGTCGAGACCGAGAACTCGAGGATAAAAATTATTACGATTTTATTCCGCGGAGACAAAAGGGGCTTTTTCTTTCATTCAATAATTTTGCCTTTTATCTGTAGAATGGCCGAGATAGATCTGTCACCTGCAAAGGACAAGGGTGTATTGAAGGAAATTATCAAGGAAGGAGAAGGAGATGCAACTCCTACGACCGGTTGCAAAGTAAAAGTCCATTATACTGGTACCTTGTTGGATGGAACAAAATTCGATTCCAGCAAAGACAGGGACAAACCGTTTAAATTTGATCTTGGACGTGGCAGCGTTATTAAAGCATGGGACATTGGCGTAGCCAGTATGAAAAAGGGTGAAGTTGCTATACTGACGTGTGCACCCGAATATGCCTATGGCAAGAGTGGTAGCCCACCATCAATCCCACCTGATGCTACCCTGAAATTTGAAGTAAGTATATATAAATAATAATTGTGTTAATTATTGCCAAATTATAACTGAAAATAAAGTGCCAGTTTTTAAGAAATCCTTTATATATCTATGTTAAGAGAATTTGTCATCTGTATATATGTCAAACATTCTAGTACATGATTAATAATTAATAAAAATTTTATATAAGTCATTATAATTCTAATATATTTCTTTAGGTTGAACTATTTGATTGGTATGGAGAAGATTTAAGTCCAAACAAGGATAAAAGCATTGAAAGATTCCAAATTGTTGCTGGAAAGCCTTATGCTAATCCAGAAGATGGTGCCCAAGTGAACAGTTAGTATCATAATTTAGTAAGCTTAAATTTGTTATATATATATATATATATACATGTTCTTATCTCTATGTAATAATTTTTATATATTCTTAGTACATTTGGTTGGAAAGTATAATGGACAAGTGTTCGAAGAGAGAGATGTAGAATTTACTCTCGGAGAAGGAGAAATTGTGGGAGTTGTTGAGGGTATAGAAATAGCGCTGCAACGTTTTTTAAGCGAAGAGAAATCTAGACTTTTAATTAAAAGTAAATATGCATTTAAGGAAAAAGGAAATTCTGAATTTAATATTCCGCCAAATGCGGATGTGGAATATGAAGTAGAGTTAAAGAACTTTGAAAAGGTAATTGTTATTTCTAAATAGTATAAGAATATCTCTTTAGTGACTTTGTAATTTTCTTAACTACTAATCGCATGTCATTTGTTATAGGAAACAGGCATATGGTCAATGAAGCCAGCAGAAAAGATAGAACAAGCAAAGATACAGAAAGAAAAAGGAACGAAATATTTGACATCTGATAAAATCAATTTAGCCATTAAAGTTTACCAGAAAGTTTTCAAGTATTTAGATAGTAAATCAGATTTCGAAGATGATCTCGTAAAAGAGAGGGATAACCTGGCATTATCAACTCACTTAAATCTCGCTTTATGTTATCTAAAAATCGACGATAACATTTTGGCAAAAGAACAGTGTACTAAAGCCTTAGAATTGGATCCTGAGAATGAAAAGGCCTTGTTTAGAAGAGGACAAGCACATCTTAAACTTGCATCACCTGAAGACGCTATCATAGATTTTCAGCAGGTTCTAAAAGTACAGCCGAAAAATACGGCGGCGTCTAAACAAATTTCAGTTTGTAATTATCTTATTAAGAAGCAATTAGCTAAAGAGAAGAAACTTTACGCGAACATGTTTGATAAGTTTGCGCAAGAGGATAAACAGGTTTGTGAAAAACAATAATGATGAATAATCGCTTCTAATCGACATGATCTTTTCTTCTACCAGAATTTTATATCAATTGCTGCTGGTCATGAAGTTGTTATTTTTAATTATTTAAAACTATAAAAATCGCCTCTGCAATGTTTAATAGTTGGATATTGATGGCTATTCATGTTTTAATATTTTAAGACAAACAATATACTGTAGAAAATGCATTTGTTATAAATGTCATGAATGATATAAAGGCTAATTAATTTAAGCCAATAAATCTTGAAAATAAACTTGTATTTGTGTTTGATCATAAACTGTGAGTAATGTCACAGAAGGAGGAGCAAAAACTGAAGGAACAACCAGATGTGATGCATGGGACTCTAGGAGAATGGGGACAGGAAGAAAGACCTGGAGGTAGAGACGCAACTGCCTTTGAAAAGGAAAATCCTAACATACTTATGCTCAATGCTAATGGTTCTGGTGAATTCAAAAACATGTAAACAATGGCCTCCTTTTTTTTTCTTTCTTTACACTGCCTCGTGTAACTGCCAGCGAACTGATATCTCATCAAATTTATTTTCGGTGTCTATTTTAAATACCACCATCTTTTAAAAAAGTTTTAAGTGTTACACATTGACATATATATTGAGACTTTGCCAAACTTTTAAACAATTTTCTTTTTATCATGTATAATCTACATGGATCATGAACTATATGTCTTTTTATTTATGTGCATGAATTATATGTAAACATTTTTTAAGAACGCATTCTCTTCCTTTTAAAGAATGAGCAGAGAGTAGAACATTTCTTTGAAAAACCATCTTATTAATAGAATACAATTTCAAGACATGATTATGTCATGTCTATTGTACTCCGATTTGTATATTATCACATTTAGAAATTGTGCAGAATTGTGTACAACAATTATGAAATCATCGTATTTCAAAATATGCCATTCCATTGTATGATGCCATTGTTTTTAAACTTACTTTAGTATATTAATTAGCATTATGTATACTGTAATAACATCTGAAGAGAAATTAATATGAATTTAGTATGTTCATATAATGATATACAAACTGTCCCAGTGAATAAAAATGCGCATGGAATTATGTATTTTGTGTAAGTTGAAAAAGATATTCAATATTAATAAAAAAAAAAAATATATATATATACTCAGCACTGATTATATGCACATATCACAAGCAGAAATGAAAATTTATTAGCAATGTACATTTTTTTCATACATATATTATCTATGCTAATTCACAAACCATGTACGATTTAATAGAATTAAAAAAGCATTACAAAATCAAGTATATAAGACACACAACTTGACGAAAATTCAACATCATCCTATTTCATTATCTTATTATTGCAATCTCTTCTAATTTCCGTGTCTTTCTATAATTTTTAATCTATAAACTAAGAATCTTTCTGAATGAATCAGCATCAATTTATTAAAAGCATGAGTTTTTATTCGATATGATATATCACGTTTTCTATAGTGTCTCTGTTATATGAAATAAAAGATAATACATTGCGCACAAAAACTCAATTTTTCAATTTTATCTTTAAGCAACGTATTACATAAATAAAAATAAATTGTTATAAAATATGTTTGAAGATTGTAATTGTTATAATGTAAAAATATTTTATCCAATCCTTTATAATTTCTTTTCAATTTAAAGTAAATTGAAAAAAAATTAAGTGATTTAAAAAATAAACTATTTCAGTTGTCATGTCTAGAAATGTATTTGATATGTTATCTGTTATATTAATAATAGAACACACAGCATACATATTCGATGCAGGAATATCTTTATGATAGTGTCCAAACCATCACAAAATTGAAATTTTCCGCAATGCGTCGATTGCTAATATGCCGAGGGAGATTGGCATTTATCCAAAACTTAGAATAAGATCTTATTCGAACGCGCAGATAATCAGAGTTGATGCACTTTTGCATAGAGATAGAAATGCGATAAGAAACGAAGAAGAAAGAGAGAAAAAAACGTCCTTTATAAAACACCGGAAATGCTTGATATTATACATGTTATTTAATATTGTGCATTATACATATGTATATTTATAGCACTTGGCAAAATATATATTTCTTAGCGAGTTGAAAAAACTGAAAAAAATATTGTCTTCTTTTTTTTTTAACAAAATTATATATACATAGGTTTCGCATAAACTTTGAAGATAGAATGTTCTCGAGAAATAATTGTCCTAGATAATTCCTTATGAAGCAATGTATATGTATACTCCAAAGCACCCGCCGATAACACCGTCCTGGTTCAATAGGAAGGGAGGAAGAGAGAAAGAGAGACAAAAATAGCCCTCTCTCCGTTGCGAGTAGCGTGTCAGATAAGGTATATATCCTATATCCTATACCGAATGTGTCTGGGTGTACCATCTACCATCCAGTATAGGCAAGAACGTTGAAAGAACGACCTCGCAAGTTTGACTGGATCTACAGCGCGAGAGAACAGAGTCGTCTGCTAGAGAGACTGAGCTTTTAAAAGAGATAGGAGATATTCGCGATCGCCGAAATGCCCAACATAATAAATGACATAAAACTGGACTTTAAGGACGTGCTGCTGCGCCCGAAACGGAGCACATTGAGAAGCAGATCTGACGTGAGTGTCGTAAAAAATAGCGCTATAATTGGCGCAAATTAGAATCACATCCGTTCGTTGCTGCCTTTATCCGTACATCCGTCTTTGTCAGACGAAAAAAATTCAGCGATTAGAAGCGCGTTATCTGTTATGAGATAACTCGAGATACATCGAAGTGTATCTGAGAACACCTGTTATATGAAATAAAAGATAATACATTGCGCACAAAAACTCAATTTTTCAATTTTATCTTTAAGCAACGTATTACATAAATAAAAATAAATTGTTATAAAATATGTTTGAAGATTGTAATTGTTATAATGTAAAAATATTTTATCCAATCCTTTATAATTTCTTTTCAATTTAAAGTAAATTGAAAAAAAATTAAGTGATTTAAAAAATAAACTATTTCAGTTGTCATGTCTAGAAATGTATTTGATATGTTATCTGTTATATTAATAATAGAACACACAGCATACATATTCGATGCAGGAATATCTTTATGATAGTGTCCAAACCATCACAAAATTGAAATTTTCCGCAATGCGTCGATTGCTAATATGCCGAGGGAGATTGGCATTTATCCAAAACTTAGAATAAGATCTTATTCGAACGCGCAGATAATCAGAGTTGATGCACTTTTGCATAGAGATAGAAATGCGATAAGAAACGAAGAAGAAAGAGAGAAAAAAACGTCCTTTATAAAACACCGGAAATGCTTGATATTATACATGTTATTTAATATTGTGCATTATACATATGTATATTTATAGCACTTGGCAAAATATATATTTCTTAGCGAGTTGAAAAAACTGAAAAAAATATTGTCTTCTTTTTTTTTTAACAAAATTATATATACATAGGTTTCGCATAAACTTTGAAGATAGAATGTTCTCGAGAAATAATTGTCCTAGATAATTCCTTATGAAGCAATGTATATGTATACTCCAAAGCACCCGCCGATAACACCGTCCTGGTTCAATAGGAAGGGAGGAAGAGAGAAAGAGAGACAAAAATAGCCCTCTCTCCGTTGCGAGTAGCGTGTCAGATAAGGTATATATCCTATATCCTATACCGAATGTGTCTGGGTGTACCATCTACCATCCAGTATAGGCAAGAACGTTGAAAGAACGACCTCGCAAGTTTGACTGGATCTACAGCGCGAGAGAACAGAGTCGTCTGCTAGAGAGACTGAGCTTTTAAAAGAGATAGGAGATATTCGCGATCGCCGAAATGCCCAACATAATAAATGACATAAAACTGGACTTTAAGGACGTGCTGCTGCGCCCGAAACGGAGCACATTGAGAAGCAGATCTGACGTGAGTGTCGTAAAAAATAGCGCTATAATTGGCGCAAATTAGAATCACATCCGTTCGTTGCTGCCTTTATCCGTACATCCGTCTTTGTCAGACGAAAAAAATTCAGCGATTAGAAGCGCGTTATCTGTTATGAGATAACTCGAGATACATCGAAGTGTATCTGAGAACACTTCTGTGACTTTTCATCTAAATTTATAATTTAAATAAATCGATGCGTATATATAGAATTATAATTTCCTTTATTATCGTTTGTGTCCTGTAAAAAACGATTATTTACATTACACAATCAAAGTTCTCAAATTTGTTTCGATATGTAAAAATTTCCTCAATTTAATTTTAATTATGATATCACTTTCTGTTAGTAGAAATTTTACTGTATCAGAATTTTATATTGATATAAAAAATTTCGTATCTTGCACATTTTTACATGAGAAAATTGATATATATATTCCTGTTTTTATATATATTTTTATGATCACATTTTCCACAATCACAATTTAATATATACATAAAAGGTCAATATTATA